CTATCTCTCTATCTCTCTATCGCTCTCTCTATTTCTCTATCTCTCTATCTCTCTATCTCTCCATCTATCTATCTATCTATCTATCTAGCTAGCTATCTATCTATCTATCTATCTATCATCTACCTACATATGTATCTATGTTTCTATGTATCTATCTCTCTATCTCTGTATCTCTCTATCGCTCTATCCCTCTATCCCTCCATCCCTCTATCCCTCTCTCGCTCTATCGCTCTACTTGTCTATCTCTCTATCTCTCTATCTCTCTATCTGTCTACCTCTCTATCTATCTATCTGTCTACCTATCTACTCTATCTATCTAACTAAGTATCTAGCTATCTAGCTATCTAACTATCTAACTATCTATCTATCTATCTATCTATCTGTCTATCTGTCTGTCTATCTATCTATCTATCTATCTATCTATCTCTCTATCTATCTCTCTATCTATCTCTCTATCTATCTCTCTATTTAGCTCTTCATCTATCTCTCTATCTCTATCTCTATCTCTATCTCTATATCTTTATCTATGCTTATATCTACCTCTATATGTACATGCTTCTGAATATATATATATATATATATTCATGATATAGAATGATGCTCAAACCCTTTTTGAAGGCTGAGAGGGTTTTGGCTGCAGAAGATCCTGGGCAGTCTTTATGCAGTCATGCAGTCATGCAGTCTGCAGAGGCAGTCTCAACACCGAGTCTGTAACGAGCATTAAGTCCTAAACCCTAAACCCTAAACCCCCGTAACACTAAACCCTAAACCCTAAATCCTAAACCGTAGATGTCATGCAGAGGGCAGACTGAGGCAGCCGACGCGCCGGCTGCCCTCAGATCCACGGGAGCTCTCGGACACGGTGACATGGACAGCGACTCATCCGCAAAGACGTTCAGAGGTTTAGGGTTTGTTGGGGGCAAAACCCATCAAACCAGGTCCAGGGTTCAAGCAGGAACCGACTTCTGTGTTTTGAAAAAACAAAGCAGTACCTATGAAAACGTGTTGAAGAGGAGTCGCGGAGGTCTAGCAGACGAAGCCTTGACGTCTGGGCCTGAAAAGCTGAAGGCTTTTCCCATCCATATTCGTTACAATGCACTGCCGGATCTTCCAATCTCACGCACAGCCCTGGCAATCTGTAGGGAGGTTTGAGGGGATGAATCACGCCCTGCAGCCCTAATGGGCACAGGACCGGGCTGTCGAACCAGCGAAGACGATCTTGGACCCTTGTCGACCTAAACTCGAGAACCCTTATGCCTTATGCAGGCTGCTTAAAAGACTCACGGGCAGTCCAAGCTGCATGCACAAGGAAGTCCCAAGGAATAGTATTAAGTACTCGATATTCAGGCCTCTAAGGAGACTCTTTCCATGTCGTCCCGTGCTCCGATGCCATTGCTAGTCAAGGTGATGAGCTCCAGCTTCTCTCGTGGCGTCTCTTTGGACAAACCGCCCGGCCCCCAAACATAGGATTCGGGCTTGAGACTTCGTTCGGGCTTCTGCGATCTCTCCAAATTCTCCAAAGCCTTCGAAGCCTACTATAGATTGTAAGCCGTAAGCGCGGCTTGACCCCTACTCGACATCATTCCCAAGCCTGAGATCGGCAATCCCTAGAAAAAAGAACTCAGTCAGATGGCACATGTGGATGAACTTCACCTGCAGCCTCCAAGCACCGTTCATACGTGCACAGTGAGCTCAAGTAGAAGCTGGTTTTATGGCCGGGTAAGCCCGGGAAATATTGGCCCTTCGCTCGCAAACCTTGACACTGAAGGCCTTCTGCGGCCAAGCAGCCATCACCAAAATCACCGCAAGGTCCACAAGGTCGGTGAAGGGCAGAAATATTATTGTCAGGGTTCCTTATTATGGTAATATACTATCAAGGAGCCCAAAACCCTATGCCCATTATTAAGGCCCCTACATTAGTGGGGTTTGGGCATCATGGCAGGGTTCAGGCAAGAATTTCGGAGCCCTTAGCCTTCTTCCTTGCGGCCTCGGGCTTCTTGGGCACTCGGAGTATAGAATCGCACAGTATCAGTAAGACACTCCAAGGCCTTCCTTCCCTAAATAGAAGGTCTCGCAAACTGCATGCTACTTGTTTCTGCAGATTCTATCCGAACAAGTCAAGAATCGCCTGCTGTGGTGATGTCTCGGACCCAAACACGAAACAGCCCAAAGCCTCAACACGTGGAATGCAACACCTTTGACAGAAAGGCCGGAAGCATTCGTAGTACAAGTGTTTACAATCCCAGCTGCCCTAGCTGAATTATCATAGCTGTCATAGCCTGTGAGAATGGCTCCACAATCCAAGCAAGTCGCTAGGGCTACCAGAGAGTGGCGTGAAGCCCTTCTGAAGCACCTTGCGCACCGCAAACCTTAAAATTCTGAAGTTACAGCTTGAAGCCCGAGCCCTAAACTCAAGGCCTAAACCCTACACCTCAAAGCCTGTACATCTACGAACCTCCGCGACGGGTGATGGCGCTGACCATCAGGTGGCTTCGCGTTCTCGCGCGGGGTTTCTTTGGAGCAGGAGGTGGCCTTCGCTCGGATCACATCGGGCCGGGGTCTCGAAAGTGAGAGTCTGAACGCTGGGTTGGCTCGAAAACCTGCTCGCTTCTCGAACCACCACAACGAGCTGGAACGGCCAAATCCGCTCCAGAGCCCGGAAGGGATTGAGACGTCTTCACTGATGGGGCAACAGCCTCCAACATAAATAGCCCTAACCCTAAACTTCAGAAGACTTCGCGGAAAGAGAATTTCGGATGCAGGGGGGGCTGCACTTGCTTCGCCTGCTTGGGCCCTCTGAGGCAACCCAATGCTCTTGTAAGGCTCAGTGGAGCAGGGCAGATGACAGAATCCGATATCATAGGACTCTGAAGCATGAGATTCGGACGCCGCACCAAAGTTTTCTACCGAAAGCCATAGCCGAGAGTGATAGAAACGGCCCAGGCAATTCTCAGACAGATGCTGAGGAGTTGATGCGGGCTCAAATCGCGGTTGGGTGGCTTATGGTTGCATGCCTGGGGCTTGAGCAGACTTGACGAACGAGCATGTTTCGAAAGCATTCGTAATCCGACCAAAGCTTGGCTTAGGGTCGTCGCTTCGTTGCATTCGGGTGCTCTCTGTATCCGTTGGTGTAGTTTTCGCTGTCCAGTACCGTCGGGTTGCAGAGTCATGTGACCGGCGATTTGCCTTGTTAGGTTTGTGACAGTCCTGGTGTACTTCTGCTGCTGCTTGTGTATCATGGCTCAGGGCTGCCGAAGCAGTCGAGCTTAGTCGTAACCCAATATCTCTCCCATAATACAGAATATGGACTTCACGTATGGTACACAGTGTAGCTGGCTCCACTGGAAACTCCACCTCGGGGCCTCTCCCTTGCAGCTCGGCGAAAGGACTGCCTCCTGTCTCGCCCAGCCTCCTTCGCTCGAGGCCTGGCGAGGTCGTGCGTTTTTTGCGGGTTTCGGGTTTAATGTCCAGAGGCTAGGGTTCCTTTAACGAGTTTTCTTTTTGGGGTTCTTCCCTTCTCACAAAGCGTACATCCCAAGTTGGGTCTCGTGAGCCTTGCCGGCCTCGTACTGCTCCTCGGGAAGGCTTCTCCGAAGATGATCTGGCAGCCGCGGCCTTATCAGCCAGCCACAGCTTAGTGCGCAGGAAAACCCGGCAAAAGTGACGAACTCTTGACGTCGCTTCGTTACAATAGCAGTTGAGTAGTAGCCAGACCAAGTTGAAAAACGACGGATCTCCGAAGCATCATTCTGTGACTTTTGGTAATTTGGGGCGGCCCTGTGGTTCAGTCCGTCGCTCTCGGCAGTAAGCTAGCTCGGCTTTGCTTGTTGACTGCTATCCCGCCTCTGGTGCAAGTGCAGGCATTTTGGCATAATTTTGGCGTCCATGCCGTCTTTAGAAACCGAGCAACTCCTGTTCCGAAGAAGCGGTGGCTGCCAAAGGCTACCCTGATGAGGGCCTTTCAGGCCAGCTGAGGGTTTTGCGAATGTAGGAGCTTTGTGTGTAGGATCCAAGCAGTGCAATTCCGATACTCCTTCGCACAGCCCACACGGCTTCTGTTGTCTGTCGCCTGCCACTTTCTGTTCCTCAAAGCTGCAATGTTCTGTCTTGCGAGCTTTGCTCATTTAAATTCGGTAGGCAGTGTGTATGTGGTCTCGGAATACGAAGCACGATGCAACATGAAGCACCACAGCAAAGACGTGCTTCCAAACTGGTTTAACGGTTTAACACTCGGTCCAGCTATGCAAGCCTCTGTAGCAACCACTGTAGCATGTCTGTTGATACTCTTGCAATGCTAACCAGCACTTCAGTGCTATTCTGCCCCGCAGTGTTATGTTACAATTGCGCCTTGGAATCTGGAATGTCCGGACCACGCAGCTATGTCGACCAAATTTCCTGTGACAAGCCCAAAGCCCTGCACACTAGACATCCTGAAACTTGTTCCCCTTCCCTTCAACCCCTAATG